AAGGGCAGTCGGAATATTCCAGCAGGATGAGATTGTTATTGGTGAGGGATAAACACATCTCTGCCTTACGGGCAGGGCCAGCTTCCCGGAGGGGCGCCGTGCGGGGGGCACCCGGCCCGGCCCTGCGAGGATGGAGCGCGACGGGAGGACGAGCGCGCAGCCCAAGCCGGGCAGGCCCCCGGCAGACCGCAGGGCGCCCCTCGGGAGAAGGGGGAGGCGGAGCAGAGCGGGTCGGGGTCCCTTCGTGTCTGAAGAAGCAGCTTCCCTAAACGGAACCTCTTCCCCGAGAGCGCGTTCGCGCAGCAGTCGGGCGTCACGGTGGAGATGAAGTGTTTTGTTTTCACCGACGGGATGCCAGGGCGTATGAAACGCATGGTAGTTTCCTGCCTAGTAGAAAGTACAGAGAGGTTTGAACAACAAAACCGCTGGAGCACAAAGGCAGAAGCGTGCAGTGCTTGGGTTGTTGCGTAAGGGAAGTTGCACATAGCCAAAACTTGTGCCAAAGGAGAGGTCGGTGCTAGCATCAGCGGGTTCAAGCCGCAGGCTAGCTGCAAGGGCAATGGGAGTGAAGTGTACAGGATGTTACACTGTATACATAATCCCCAAATAAGAGAGTTCAGCTTGGTGATACAGTTCAGTGGATGAGTAAACAAATTGTGGGAAAAACAAGATAGGAACGGTCATAAAGAACACATCTGTCAACTGTTGGCTGCATCAGGGGAGACCCAGAGCCAGGGACTTCTTGTCTAAATGGTTGGTTGGGATTCCAGATAATCTCATATCGTTTGGATAAACAAATAATGGAAAATACTTGTAGTGGTGATGACGTACCATTTTAAATAAAAGGATCCTGTCCGTAACCAAACCATTCTGTTCACTAGCAGATTTAAGAGCATTATGCCAACAGTTTGGTGAATAGATTGCAGGTTGCCCCCTTTCATGTTTGCTTCGTGATTTCTGACCTTTAATAGTGCTTCAGCTCTAGTAAACTGAAACCGTAATAAAGAAATGCCACAAAAATGAATTTACTGCTAAGCATAACAAAATGTTGTGTTCTTCAGTTAGTGGACTATGGACTATGATGTTATATTCACAGTGCCTTGTATGTGTAATATGGCCTGTCTTGTCTTGTACAGAATTTATATCAAAAATATTGCTCAGTGTTTTCATTTCTGACTCATCAAAGTCAATGGATATCTTGGTATTGACTAACTTTCAGTTGGATTAAATTCTGTCTCCTTCTTTACTCTTTTAGTGCAACGAACATTCTGTTTTTTTTGCAGGGAAAGGTACTTAATTGTTTTATGGCTGAGATATACTGTAAAGTTTGACAAATCTGAAATGTGCAGGTTCGTGGTCTATGTATTGCTCCTTGTTTTTGATATTTGTTGAAATGCGTGTTTTTCCGGATAAGGATTGACTTCCTTATTTGTTGAATGCTGAATGTGATATGAGCTACATCCTTGTTTAGGTCTTCAAGACAGTTTAGAATATTGTCAAAGGAAGTGTCTCTGCTGATGGTCTTGATATTTCTGTCAAACTAAAATGCTGCCTCAATCATTTGATGCCCCAATTCAAAGCCTATCAGTGGCTTTGAGCCGGAAATTTAAAAAAAAAAAATCAGGTTTCAAAATTGTGTTATATTGTTACTTGAATTGCTGTTGCTCTCCAGGATTTATCTTGAGGACAGCACTCTGCAATAATTAGGAGGTCTGCCTTTTTTTGTTGTGCTTACTGATATTGCTCTAGTGATTTACAGTGTACGTTGAAAGCATAAATAATTTATTAGCTACTTGAATGTAGCTATTCAAAATCAAGAGTGCCTTTTTATCTATTTTACTGGACTGCTGGATTGAAAACATTTTGTGAAAGTTGTATTTGCATTACTCACATGTTAACAAGTTTTTAACTCTCCTTAGTTCTGTATTTTATTTGGAATTCTCCTATAATAGAATTGTTAATCTTATTGCCCTTGTAGCCTGTTCTTTATGAAAGCAAACTCGGTGCTGAGCTAAGGACTGGGAACGGAGAATTGAAGTTCTATTCCCTGTGAAAAGTAGGTAGCTTAATGAAGCTGTATTTTATATTTCTTATTGTGAGGTCTATAGAAAGTAAGAATGCATCAGCAAGGTACTCTTATGAAAGGCCTGCAAAAAGCATCATATTGACGGGACAAATTTATTTATTTATTTATTCAGAAACAGAACACCTGGGAAGATGGCCCTGAGAGAGGGAGAAAACAACAGCAGCTCTGTCAATGACAAGCAAGAACAGAGTGGCAATCGTGTTATTACAATTGTCTTCCTGGCACTCCTCATTGACTTGTTGGGATTCGCTCTCATCTTGCCACTGTTTCCTTCCATCCTTGATTATTACAGCAAGACTGAGGTAAGTAAAAAAGAGAGTCAGCCTGCTGAAAGTGCTGGGCATGGGAATATTTAGGGAAGGATGGGAGGAAAATCCCTTTCCTTCGGGCACACCAAATAGCTGTAGGCGGAATAATAATTCCCAGCACATTTAAATCGTTCATGGACTTGATTTGTTGAGAACCTGCATGAGACTCTTCTGTCTTGCTGCCTCATTAAAACAAGGGATTTGTTTCGGAGGAAATACAGGTACTTCTTAGGGCTAGTCCTTGTAATTATTGGCCCTTTCTCTTGCTTTGCATTTGGTCATATGTTGCAGCGGTCTTTGTCTTGTAAAAGATGGGTGCTTTCATGAATGTAAGGTGTGTTGCTGTTGCGAAGCTGAGACTTACTTAGTTCTGAAAACTGTAACATAGAAGGTCTGGCTGAAGAAAGATACACATTTGTATCTTGAATCTATCTTGTTTGATAGATTCCCCCTCGCTTGGTAAACAAAGAACTAAACACTAATTCCTAAATGCGTTATGTACTCCATAGTTAAACATGCGTTATTACCTGGAAATCTGTTTCTTATCAAACGGCAGTTGGGGGAGTGGAGTCAACATAAAATCCCTAAGGAGATTTTATAATGTATCTGTCAAAGATAGCTAAGGCCTGGATGTGCCCTTGTTTAGGACATCGCTTCTGCTGTGCTGTCCCTGTTTCATTGATGCAGAATACAGTTCTTTGGTGGTTTCCCCACTGCTGCAGCTATATAAGAGATCTTGAGATGCAGAGAGAAGGGTGAGAGCCAGCATGTTGGTGACTTACACTGATGTCATGGGCAAGACAGAGTAAACAACGATCCATAGTGGATCTGGATACTGAGGTTTATTTAAAAACTAGTAAGATAAGAGCTTTTACTCTACTTGATTATTTCACATGCTCACTAACTTGCTCCCACCCCCAGCATCTCATTCACTAGGTCTCGACTTTCCTTCCCAGCAGGGAGATAGATGGCAGCTGGTCTGGGAAGGGTGGGCAGAAATTCTTGCTGGTTCCCTGCTGTGCAGCTGCTCACAGTTACCAGCCTCAGGTGTTACTGGACAAGATGAGGAATTTGTCAGGGGGAAATTATTTTTGCAGCCCATGCCTCCCTCACCCAGTCCCTTTCCAGCCCCACTCCCCACTCCACCTGCAGCTCTAGTCTCTGTCTCTCTCCCAAACCTAGCCCTAACCCTAAAGGTAGATTCAGCTTGAGTTCAAGCTGAACATGACCCCCAGCCATGGCCTTCAGGAGAGACTTCTTTCTGTAGCCCACACCTTCCTCATGCAGACCCTTTTCAGCCCCACTCCAATTGCACCTCTAGCCTTTGTCTTCCTTCAACCCCAACTCTAACCCGAACCATGGCCCCTGATCTCCAGGATTTCCCCCCACTGCCAGTATCTTTCCTACAACCAGGATCTTCATGTTTTTCTTCTCGGGGCACCCTTCTTCTCTAAGTCCTCCTTTTCTCAGGAACCCTTCTTTTTGCACCACCTCTTCTTTCTGAAACTCCAAGCACCTGATTTTCCCAATCTGAATAGTTTATGTGCAGAAGCACAGCACAGGTTTCATGTTCCTTTATGAATTGAAGGATTTAGAATGTGCCATTCCTATTTAGTCCAGGTGGTATCAAAATTTGCAACCAGCCCTTAGCAGCTGCAGCTAGCAAGCAGTAGGCTTCTGCTTGAGAGCTCAGTTTCAGATCTTCTCCCACAGACACATATATACCCGATGATCTGCTGCCTGTTAGCATTCACAGTTTAAGCTATTCTTAGCTCATGACAACTGATCAACCAGGAAACTTTCCCTTGGCAAAGAAAGAGGGAAGAAATCACCTAACACGGTCTCTAGTTCACTAGGCTCTGATGCTGTGTCTTTGAATATAAAACAGAAAAACTGTCCTCCTATTTACCAGATAGCTCTTTTGCAGGATGGATTCTATTTGTCATTGCAACGTGGTGTGGATTGGTTTGCAGTCATGGTTGGGATGCCTCCGGAGAGGAAATACAACAGTGTCTTGTTTGGAGGTATGGCGAGTCAACAAAGAAACAGACTGGTGCGGGGGAAAAAAAAAGGCCAAAATTTATGTTGTTTTCAAGTTACTTGCTATATTGATATGAGGAATGATGAACTATCATGAGGAATGAGGAACTATGAGGAATTTGACAAGAAATATAAAATGCATGCTTCCCTCTTATTAATATAGTAGATAAAGACTAAACTTAAATAACATTTAAAATGTGTCTCTAAAAGCAGGCTATAAATAATTTTGCTTTCCTCCCACTGATAGCAGTGATGAGTTGCACCGCCTCATCTCTGCCTCAGATCTAGACAGGCTGGAGGAACAGGCCAACGGGAACCTTGTGAAGTTCAACAAGAACAAATACAAAGTCCTGCCCCGGGGAAGGAGTAGTCCCTTGCAGTGATGCAGGCTGGGCACTGACTGGCTGAGGAGCAGCTCTGCCATAAAGGCCCTGGGGAGCAGCAGCTGAACGTGAGCCAGCAGTGTGCCCTGGCAGCAGAGGTGGCCAGCAGCATCCTGGACTGTATGAGCAGTCAATGAATCAAGGGAAGTGATCGGCCCCCTCTTGTAAGACCTCGTTAGCACTCATTAGGCCACATCCAGAACACTAGATCCAGTTTTGGTCCCCAGTACAAGACATCGATAAACTGGATCGAGTTCAGCCACCAAAATGGAACAGGGGGCTGTAGCATGTGCTCTTTGAGGGGAGGCTAAGGGAGCTGGGTTTGTGCAGCCTGGACCTAAGAGCAGCCTTCTAATATCTGCAGGGAGGTTACTGAGAAGACAGAGGAAGGCTCTACACAGTGGTGCATGGTGAAAGAGCAAGAGGCAGTAGGCGTAAACTGAAACAAGAGAGGTTCAGACATCTTTTTATGGTAAGGACAGTCAGTGGAACAGGCTTCCCAGCGAGGTTTTGCAGTCTTCATCACTTCTTTCACATCTTTCAAAACCTAACTGAACAAAGCTCTGACCTCATCCTAGATGTGACCTCATAGCTGACCCTATGAACAGGAGATTAGAGCAGATGACTTCCAGAGGTGCCTTTCAACTGGAATTATCCTATGATCTTGCCCAATTTGTTCTTCAGACTTCTTCAGAAATACAGGCCTGCTATTCCTTATTGTCATAGCATCAGGTGTGGGTCAGGAGCCTGCTGTTTTAGACCCTGTGCAGTCACAGAAGTTACTCTCCCTTTGCAGTTCATCCTCACGTGACTGGAGATCAATCAGTAGGAAACACTGGAGTTAGAAGCTTGTGAGTTCAAGTCCCGCTTTCCCACTGGGCAGCTACAGAGCAGTGCTGCTTGTAAATGTTATTAGTCATATTAAGAGGGGCTGAGCTGCTGACTTGCTGTGTCTAGAAGCATTTCCCGTTGCCAGGACACTGCTGATGTGGCTGAACTCCACCAGGAGTAATGTAGGAAATCCAGGTCACTGGAAAGGAGTTCTACATGTAAGCCTTTGGGGAAGGATAAGGGGCTTGTGTTGGGGCGTGCATGTAAATAGACTGTAACAAGAACACGACGTTTTAACTCAAGTGCAGCATAGATATCATGTTACACGTCGGAGGCTTTTTTGGTTTCTTGTGTTCTGGAAAGTTGTAAGAGGAAATTCTGGGATTCCAATGTATAATGGTGTGAGGGTGTCTGGGTTAGTTTTAGCTGGAACTGTCTAGATCTTCTCCTGTTAGTGAGCTGAGGCCTCCCCTAAGATGAACAAAAGGCTTTTAACTAAAAATAGGAAAGCTTTATTATTATATAATATTGTATTTATATAAATGTGAATGTATTTTAACTATTTTAAGTGGTTTCTTTGGGTATTACAGATATGAAAAAGCTTATAAATTATTTTCATCTTTCCCACTGTGTCCTTACAGGGAGGTTTCGGTTTCTGTGCTCGTTTTCAGCCAGCTTACTGGCTTTGAATGGTAGGAAAACAGTTTCCTTTAGTACTTCAGGAATTACTTTCCATCTCCCCAGGAGGCTGGCAGCCTCCTCCTTTTCCTTCTCAGAGACTGTTTAAGCAAGGAGCTGGGAACTCAGAGCTGTGTCCAGCTTGCTGCCTGTCCTTTTACCTGCTGTGTCCTGTATTCTTGGGAAGTGTATATCCCTTGACCTAGCTCAGTTGCTTTCCAGGGGAAGGAGAAATTCGCCTGCTCCTTCCAGAGAAGTCTATCTGAGCCTGTTGCTGCTTGAAGAAAATATAACATGTAACTGAGAACGTACAGATAAAACAGACACTGTTTGTTTTGGAAGGGAAGCCAGTATTCCTTGCTGCTTCCTCTCAGGAGGCGGAATTACTGAGTAACGATGGGAAGGATCACTAGTTCCCTGGCACCAGCTAACTAGCACCAGGCAGTGAGGGTGCAAACAAGGTGGCTGAGTTGATATACTAATATACAGTTGATATACTAATATTTACTGTATTTGACTCCTTCTTGTCTGCTGGCTTGGGTAGCAATTCCTCCTAATAGGCTATCTCAACTTGCTAAACCAACAGGATACTT